CATGTTAGAAATTGCATTCCAAGGGACACAACCCAGTAACTCCCACCACTATAATAAGACAATACACTCTTCGGTCATAGTCACAATTTATTAGGCCTAGTCTCTGCAATTTGTAAACTGGCCCAGTGATTACAGACAACATATAAAACAGAGGTATTCTATTTGCTTGAGTAATATATTTTGTGTAACACTTCATGACTTCAGATTTAGTCCTACTTTGAATAGGATGCTGACTGGCTGCCAAAACTTAGAGCCAAATCAGTGACTATTTAAAATACAATTATGGACCACTTCATTGGTAGTGTCTTCTATTTAACAGACTAAATTTTATTATCAATACTTTTAGCTAAAAGACAAAGAAACAAAAAAGAATAAAAATCACTATACTAATAAAACGACGAAATAAAGAAACAATGATCATTAATTCCAGATATCACTCATCTACTACTCAACAACTGTCGCTCCTTTTAAACACCGAATACACAAACTGAGTATCAAAAGGTCCAGAAACTTCATAATCAGTGTAGGTCCCTCTAATGACGGGGTCGTTTGGAGACTCGATTTCGCGGATTTTTCCAGCTTGCTTGTTGCCAACATGCAAGCAACTAGTTCCACGCTGTGTCCAAGATCTGTAGAGTAGTCCAACAAACTGGCGTTGAGGATCCACTGGATGATTGATGAAGACTGTGTAGAGTAGGTCATTAAATCTTGGAGGGTATGTAGACACTCCATTGAAACTCGATACATTAATTGGAATATTCCAAAACTGACCTGTAGAAAAAATAATGGTAAAATAAACATCATTAGTATTTCCTTAACTAAATAAAATCCCACTAACATAGGTAATTTTATAAAATTTTGTACAAAAAAAACTTAATTATAATAAGAATATGATTATACAGTATTACTGTAGTGCAGTAACTTGCCTATCAAACCATGTGAATATTCATGAAGATTGAACCCCCGGGATATTATGAATTTTATCATAGTCACAGGGCCCAGATTAACTCCAGTGTATGGATCGCTAATGTTCACAGTCTCACAGACAACCCACATAACCAGACTAACATCAGCACAATTGGGGACTTTGATCCTGACCCTGTCACTATACCTCCTTATGCTAATTCCACGATGACTAAAAGGAGACCTTATATCATTAGAACCAGGCCCTGGACTATTACGTGTAATGGATACACCATCATAAGTTGCAGTACAGCCATTACTATTGACTTGTATTTGATGACAATGATCTGCGGAATCAATGGCTACAATTGAAATGCTATCAATGATGTTATAAATTGGAGCATTTGTTGATTGAACGTAATGAGCTGTGACGGATGTGCAATCGTCTGAGATGTAGTTGAAGTAAGCATCAGGCCTGCCGTGTATTTCATAGCAGAGATGCAGTGGGCCAGTTAGGTTAGCTACTCTTGTATATAAAATAGGAACAGTGAAGAGTGGATCACCTTGGGCAGTATCATTTCTTATTATTCCTGTAGAAAAGAAATAAAATATTTTTGGTCACTTGTAAGGATATGTTAAAGCCACAAAAGGGTATAGTAATAAATAAAATTTATTCAATAATGTACAATTATTACTGACAGTATAAATGTATCCTTCTTAACTATGTGACTAAAAATGATTTCTATAGCCAAAGTCTCTAAGAATGCTAGTCAAATGATTACAAAACCCAGCCTCAATACACTACCATTCTTGGCTACTCTGCTTTATTTGTTATCTTTTTACTTACCGCATTCTTCTCTGTTTGGTCTAGCAAGCTGTTCAGGTGCTTCCACAAAATGGCTAGTAATGAACTCACTAACGGAAGTCCTATTCATAAAATTGGCAGTCCTCTGACAATCAGAGTAGACAAGGTCACCATTCAATGCTCCACATAGTCCATTTAAGCGCATCATCAAAGCATTTCCTAAGACAACAACAGTGACTGCATTTTTACTGAAGTTTACACTGAGTCCAACGCTATTGAGCGTTACTGTAACAGAGTCAACTTGTTGAATTATGCTGATATTGCTAACAGATGGGGCAGGCCGTGATATAACAGAATAAGCTGAAAACACTATCTTCTGTTCATCGTGCATGATTGCTATGAGGCCGGATGATAGGGTCCTGTTTAAAAAGTCGACACGTATGTCAATCCTTGAAGAATTGCAAGATGAGACTAGTTTGTGTTCACAATTCCTGTCAAAGAGGTACCGAGCGGTTCCATTGAATGTTGATACCCATTGCGTTGAGTTAATACTGCACGTTACACCAAATTCGTCATTATCTATTAAAAAAATAAAAATAAAAATAGGAGGTATACTAAGAGTCCATTAAGCTACAGCCACATGTCAAAAGCACTC